GTGGAGATGAGTCCATGGTTTGAGTTCAACTGCAAAAAAATAAAAAATAGCAGTTAGAAAGTGTAAAAGTACGAGAGAATTAAAATAGTTAGAAAGTTATAAATTAGGGCAATTTTTACAATAATGGAAACCATATGCACCACAAGCTCAATTCATAATTTGGGAACATGCAAAACTAAAGAAACAATAAGAAAATCAAACTTCAATGCAATACTTGGAAAAGAGCAAGAGGCAGGAAGCTAATGGATATGAGTCCAATGTATCAAGAACTGCAAAAAAAAAGTACCAGTTAGAAATTGAAAAGTTACAAAAAAATAAAATAATAAACAACTTATTACCTTGAAGAAGTGTCACATTCTTTATTAGGGCAGTTTCTACTATCATGGAAACCAACTTCACCACAAGATTTACATGTTCTTGGCTTCTTGACTTGATCCTCTGTTGCACAAGCGTCACTTTTTCCTACATTACTTGACCTCTTTTTATGTATAGCTTCTTCACGCTTGCTAATCATTCTTTTTTTTCTGCCTTTATTGACAGAAATGTTCGGAGGATGAATGCTATATTCTGATGAAGAGCTAATACCTATGAGGCTTTCAATATCATTTGAACTTTTTCCAACATCATTGGAAGTATGTTTTGAAAGAATAGAGCCTTTGAAAGATTCAATCATGTCCAATAACTTCTCCAAATCATCATTTGAACTTTCAGCAAGAGAAACACAACTGAAAAAGGATGACCACAGATCACCCACCAACTTATTTTTCGAATCAGCAATACATTCTTCCAATATGTTCCCAGAACAGTCAAAAATAGGCTTTTCCAAAGCTTTTTTTGTCCAACGATTTAGTATATATCGACTGGGAAGCTCACGAACACCCTTACCTTTTATTATGAATAGAACATGACGGCACAAGATACCTTCCCTCTCAAACATCTTGCAAGAGCAAGAACTAGCATGATCACCGGGATTATATGTAACTTTATACGTTTTCTCACGAAGAATATCAACAACACACACATGATCCAAGCCCGATTCATCGGTAATGAAGCTTTGAATACCACAAGAAAAACAAGCAGCTTTCCACTCAGTTTGAAACAAGTAAAAAACAGTGAGGGTGTAAAGTTCAGAAGCATGCTTTTCAATTGGTAATGGTGTTAGCAATTGAGGAAATGATTTCTTGGAATTAGCATGCAACTGGTCATGGTGGTAGCGTTGAGACTCTATGGCAGTTTGAAAGCGAGATGCAAATTCAACCAACGATAGGAATGGATTTAAAAAGTGGTTAAAAAAATTATTTTCACTCTCTGATCTTTGAGTAGATCTTAAAATGCCACCTAAAAAAATATCTCTGAAATAGGCAGGAATCCACATGTCTCTAATATCAAACAAATTCATAAACCAATCGTGTTTCTGCAATCCAAATTCATCCATAACTGCCAACCAACCACTAACAAATTCATCAGGTTCTAGTTCACGATTCCAAACAACAGCATTCAAACGGAGAAGAAAATCAGTTTCATCACAAAGTTTATACCCTACTTTTTCACGGACTTTCTTCATTATGTGCCACATGCAAAACCTATGCTTTGACTTCTCAAAGACTTTGGGTATGGCTATTTTCATAGCAGGGTCTTGATCTGTCACAATACTTACAGGCTCACAACCACCCATACAACGCAAAAACGTATCAAAAACCCATGTATATGAATCCACATCTTCATTTGCAATTAGGGCACAACCAAAGGTAATGCATTTTCGATGGTTATCAACCCCAGTAAAAGGTGCAAAAATCATAGAATATTTGTTGGTGCTAAATGTGGAATCAAACGTAACCATATCACCAAACAAAGCATAATGTTTCCTACATAATGCATCTGCCCAAAAAACTCTAGTCAATCTCTGAGTCTCATCAACAACATAATCAAAAAAGAAACCACTTGAATGAGCAACCTTTTGCTTAAAAGACTCAATAAACATATGCGCATCTCCATATTTAACATATGTCTTCAAATCACGATAACAGTTCTTAAAATCAACTAAAGAAGCACCAATGTTTGCATACCCACCGACATGTTCTTTCATCATATGAAAAGACAAACTTGCTCCCTTGTTAAGCTTTGCATTGTCAAAAATAAATTTCTTATGAACCACAGTCATATTACGGTTTTGCTTTTGAAACATTTGACTCTTGGGAGTAGTAAACTCATGTGTATGTGGCTCATGAAACCGGTATACTGTATATGAACCAAAAGAAGAAAAACGGACTTTCATACAAGCACGACAGCCCGTTCTCTTTAGGGCAGTTCGGCGAGATGCACTTTTACCAGATTTCTGTTTTTCAGATTTAAGCATACGCTTTTGGGTACTGTCACTATCCTCTTTAAAACCTTGTTTGTTGCATAGAAAATATTTCCTTAAAACAGTACCATCTCGATGTTTATTATCACTTCCTAACCGCACTTCAAATCCACATATCGAAGCATACCGATTGTAAAAGAGATTAGCATCTGCTAAGGAAGAGAAAGTCATACCAACAGCAGGTTTACAATCAGGAGGGCAAGATGGAATCCATTGTTTAGAAGAAAAGGAAGTGCTCAAGAATGGAGTTGAGTTCACAGTTGAGTTCACATCAACATCATCAACTTGATCCATTATACTGAAAAGCAATCAACATTAAGACAAAGAAAATCCAGTCAACAAATATGATTTATACACAATTACAACTTCAGCAATATCATGCAATACTCAATTAAAAAAACAATTTCCAAAACTGCTGCAAATAAAAAAAAAAAAACTAATGCACCCCTAGTACTATTCTATTTCAAGGCCCATGGTTTGAGTTCCCAAATCAATTGTTTGGGTTTCCTACATCAATTCAAACTTTCAAAGTACTATACACAGTGATTGGAATTTGAGGTTCTCTGTCAACTAAAAAACTTTTACTCAAATAACAATAACTATTAAATCAAAATATATAACTTTTATTGAAAACTCCGGTTTAAATGTTAGAAGGTTTAAATAGTAATAAAAATGTAAATTTAAGAGGACAAAACTATAACTATACAGAGAAAGGTTTAATAAAAAAAACCAGTCAATGAGTTTCATACGTTATTCATAAAATTACACTCTAGACTCGAACTAATTCTATTACCGTTGAAACATTCTAACAAACACATGATGGGCATAATATATACTTTCAATTGATTTATAAAAAAAAATAAGGCAAAAAAGTAACGAGCAAAATTGTTTGTTGGAAGATAATTCAATCGGAATATATTAAATCATAATTTAGAATTCACAAAATCAAAACCAAATCCCAGGTTAAATTAAATCGCAGCGGATATATTGGAGCAGATTGAGGGGAAGAGTTTAGTAGTTCAGATTAGGAAAAAGGAAGATGAATCAGACCTTCGATATGTCTTCGATAAGGAGTCGTCGTCCCCAAAACTTGTGTTTTCCCCTTGTACGGTTAGACGTTGTAGGTGATAAACTTCATAGATAAAACTGCGCAGCCATGGAATCGGATTTTGTCGTTCGAAGGCGAGACGGATACAGAAGGAAACATGCCTTTAACAAAAAGATACGTAGTTAACAAAAACTACAAATATGCCATTAATGAAACGGCTGTGTTAAAACAATCGGACGAGGCAGACTAATCAATCGGACGGCTCCCATGACTTCTCACTTTTCAGCCTAATTAGGACTTCTCATAGGATCTTTTCTCTATATATATATATATATATATATATATATATATATATATATATTGGTTCAAGTGAGACATGCATCTAATGTGAGAAATGAGAATGAATCTCAGCCATTGGATTTACGAAGTTGCACTAAAATTGGCTTTATGTTGCAGTAATATTTAAATTTTGCACATGTTGCACTAAAACTGTTTCATGTTGCACTAATATTTGACGGCGTTGCACCGAAATAGCTTCATGTTGCACTAGACACGTGTAATACGGATTTTTCAGAAGTATTTACAGAAATGCCACCGTGCTAGATTGCATATTTCAGTGCATCATGAAGTGTCTTTTACTGCAACTTAGTCGAATCCAATGGCTGAGATTCATTCTCATTTCTCACCCAAAGGGTTCTTCTCACTTGAACCTTACCCTATATATATATATATATATATATATATATATATATATATATATATATATATATATATATATATATATATATATATATATATATATATATATATATCCAAAAAAAAGGTGCATCACACACAACCTTAACCTTAGGAACAATTCTATTAACAATTACAAACAATCATTAACTAGTATCTCAATACTATTTAGATTATTTTTATCAAATCAAATGTTCATTCCTTACCAATTATATCTCATGAACACATTCGAGAATATCCATATTTTATCAATATTTAAGCATCAATATAAGTTGTAAGCAACTAGATGTCTATCCTCGCCTCAAATAAGCTTCAAACTTTCCTCTTTCAATCCAATGGTCAAAACTTCGGCCAAGGAAGGTTGAGAACTGATTCCTTACTTATACATAATAGCTAGAATAACACTACTACATTTAGAGGGCTTTTGTAACGGTCAACTTTGTTACTATTGGTCTAAATATCTGTTACAATATACTTAATGTAACAGTTTTGTGCCGTTACATTCGCTGGCGTTGCCTTTTCTCTAATGTAACGCTATGTAACGACTTTTAGAACCAATTGTAACGCCCTTCTCAACCAACTTCAAGTGTTACCACAATTGTTACTATAGATTGAGTACAATTGTAACGGTCTTTAACGTAAACAAATGTAACACCTGAGAAAATTAGGTAACAAATGTCTCATTTAATTATTATCTAACATGTAAAAAATTATCTAACATAATACTTATTAATATATATATATATATATATATATATATATATATATATATATATAGACAGAATAGAGGATGTCACATGACGTTTTATTCAAAATGACAACATTATACAACAAAATTAGGGGGGGGACATGAACCTTACCCCTAAAACAAAAATAAGTAGTAGCTCAAGTGTACGTGGGGTATTTCCAAAGTCTAACAAACCCCTAAAACGTTTGAGAGTAAACTAGCAATACTAAAAATGCACTAAAGCTACTAATTTAAGAACTAGACTTTGCTAAAGAATGGGCGGTGTACATAGTTCGCCTCCCTAAGACAATGCCTGATAGATAACCTTCCCAAGTTATGATCCAGCCTCAGAATGCCTTTTATCTCGGATCACAGCTTACCAGGAGACTCAAATTCAACTTAGAATTGAGTGTATTCAGCATTAACAACTCATCAAGTAGCCTGGAGATTTAGCGTGACATGCGTCTTTCATTATTTTGTTATATTTCATCCTTCTCATGACAACCTTTTCCTATAAAACAAAACATCAAATTATTAGCACACATAGAATTAGATAAAAGGGGAAAGCAAATAATGGTTAGAAAAGTCAATATGATAGATGATTATCGACAACATCTCTACTTTTTTTAACAATATCAAACACATACTATTTTCCATCAAATGAAGTGAGTGAACATTTACGAAGGATAAAAACAAAAAGTAATAAACCTAATAAAACTATAAAACCAATATTGAGAGACCTGGAGAAACTATTTGAATATGGAGGTAATAAAAATTATTAATTCCCAAACTAATATGCCCTTCAAAGAATTTCCCAAATTAAACTTAATTCTCTTAATATAATACGGAGTAGCTTAACAGCATATTAGAATATCTCTGGTCGGTTCAGAGGTTCTACACCAGTTGACTGTGTTGCACCAGTTCCATGCACAAACTAGCTGTCATGGCTGATAAAGTGATAAGCTTCAGGAAGTTGGAGTCCCACGCTGGCAGCAGATTTTCTCAAAACTCTTTTCATCTCATCAGACCTATTGACTGAGATTTTATTAGAAAAGAGCAAGTCCTTTTGATGGTGAACACTATTGAGGAGGAAGGTGTAATCTTTGGCAAGCTTTAACCTACCCTCTTGATGAGTCTGGGAAAGACCCTTCTTAGCAGCAGCAACAGCAGCTTCGGTATTGTTGCTCGTCCTGAACTCCTCTATTATAAAGTCGGTGAAATGGGCTTTGTGCTCTTCCCTTCTGATGTGTTTCTTCACTCCTTTCACAAGGTTTCTGTAAACCTCCTTCCCCATTGATTTTCTCCCACGCAACCTCGTGTTTTGGCTCTGAATAAATCTGCAATTAAATATACTGTTATCGACAAACTCCCATTTTCGAAAACTCTAGACAATCCAGGTTTAGGATTTTTTTTTTTAAATTGTTCTATTGTAAGAAAAGGTTGAATCATTGAGACTAATAGAAATTCGAGATGACGGTAGAGTATAGCCCGGAGAGGCACTTCTCAGGTGATCAGCTCGGGTCTAGCATTGCAATTGAGTGTCAGCCCCTATCGACAACTAACATCTCTACTCTTGGGTGATATATTATTGTTTGGATAACCGTTAAAACCCAATATAAGAAAGGATTTGGCAACACACTGCCTCACCTAACCAAATACATGGCACGTCCACTACATCAAAATCTAAACAAATTAACCAACAACCACTCACAAATGCAGTCATATAAATTCAATTATGCAATACACTTACTCATTTATAAAGTACATGGCTCACCCACAACAACAAAGCCTAAGCAAACTAACCAGCAGTCCCACGCATACATACAATCATATAAATTCAGAAAACTCCAGTAACATGTTGCCTCATCTCAGACCTTATAAGTAGTTTTAAGCCAAACACCAAATCTGATTGTAATTTCAGAAAGTAAATATAAAGTAAGGTTCATTAATGTAAGAAGATAAATTATCATACCTCTGCAATTAAACGTGAAATCATCCCAGATTAATATAGACTGCAGTTTCCTCTCTTTTGGTACTTATGATAAGCAACGCTGCCGGCATATTCCAAAATCTGAAACATTCAATAGTAAAACAACTTCCGACATAGCAACACTTACGTATTTATACACACGTAGCCAGGATGTATTATACACATATGAACGTAACTAGCTGAAATTCACCTATTCAATTAATTACATACAAAAGAGAAACAATTGCAAGATCAACCAAGTTCAAAATCCACAACTGCACTGATCCATTACAACCCAAGCTAATGAAGTTGTGCAAAATCATTCAAAGAATATCCATCAAGTTCAAAACAATTGCAATAGAACCGCACTGGCTATATTAAGTTCTTTGGCAGAGACATAAGTTTGATAAGTAGCATTAAAAGATGCAAATCCTGAACAAGGAAAGCACACCCAAACAACACATATAAATAAAAACTTGCTCAAAGAATAACTACCAAAGTAAATTAGAGAACGCAGATGCATTTATCATACACTTCATTAAACATTTTGTCAAATAGTTAGCGCATATATAAGACTCTGAATACATGAAAGAATACACAAATTTACTTTAGATACTATCTATCAAACATTTTGTCAATCACTCAACACACACTTTAGATTCATGAACAAATACATGAAGTACTTTATATATGTAACCTTTGAAACATTTTATCGAACACTTTACCTACAGTCATATATATATATATATATATATATATATATATATATATATATATATAATATATATATGTTCACACTTTATAAAATTGAATGTTAAAAAACATTTTGATACAAAATACTTTGTAGTTGTGCTGGACAGTAAAACTGAGTGCACACTGCATAGTTAAAACTATGTTCGGGACTACTTCAAATACTCCTCCTGAAGCGAACGATGGAGAGAGCAAAAGACAAAAGTATAGTATCTCTCAAATTAATTGGGGCATAAACTCTTAAATTAAATAGCAAGAGATGAAGAAGAAAGAAAAAACTCAATGAGAAAAACCTAATTCAGGGTTGTACTCTAATGTGCCATCAAAACAAAATCTCAAACTTAAACCTAATTTTCAAAAATTTATATTGTAAATATAATATAAAGTACTGAAGGAGTTCAGTCACATAAAATAGGTGGAAAAATACCGCAGATGGAGAAATCGCAGGAATTAGATCTGCTAGAAAGAAAGCGATTGTCCTGAAAAATCGAGAAATACAGAAAACTATTTATTAAAAGAGGAAGATTTTATAGAGAAAAGAGGGAGATTTTACTTGTTACGCCATGTGAGGATGTGTGTGCAGACTCTGCATAGAAGTCTTCCCAGGAGTTGACGATTTGTACAGAGAAGTTTCTAGGCTAATTTGAGCGTAGCAGATACTCCGTATATTTTAGTAAGCATGAGCAGAGAGGGTAGAGAAAATGGTGAGGCGGCCGAAAAAATAGAGAAGTTTTGCGGTATACGTAGTGCTATGATATTTAGGCTCTGTTTGCAAACCCTATTGAGAAGTGCTTTTAACTTTTTTAAATGATTTGGTAAAAAAGTGATTAATAGTAAAAGTTGGTAGTGTTTGAGAAAAAAGTGATTTTGAAAAGTAAAAGTTGGTGGTGTTTGGTAAAATAAGTGCTTTTTGTGTAATAGAAAAAGTAAAAAGCAGATTCTAGCTTTTAGCTTTTAAGTAATTCATTTAAGTAGAAGTTGTCATTTGAAAACATCTTTTTTAGCTTTTTTAAGCCAAAAGCTGGGAAGTGCTTTTCTAGTTGTGTTTGCAAACAGAGCCTTACTCTGCAGGAGGAATTATTTTGCAACTGAAATTTTCACTTAGGGTTTTCGCCCATCCCGCATTTAAGCAATTTAAGCGCCATAGTTTTAGTTGAAATTTCAATGAAAATATGGCGCTCATTTTTGCCGCTTCAAAGGTGTTACATTAGGATCCACCAAAAGTAACACCGGTTAATCAAATGTAATAGTTTATTGAATCGTATAGCAGCGTTATAATAGCATTAGAGTAAATGCAACACTTTTGACATAAGTGTAACACCACATTGAAAACTATTACATTAGACACATTTTTTGTAACACTTTAGACAAATGTTACAATTTTTTTGTTACATTAGGCCCAAAAATGTAGTAGTGTAAATCCTCCAAGTATGGAATCTTTCCTTAAATCCATGCAAGGTTCAAAACTTCGGCCAAGGTTCCATGAGTTCGTTTCCTAACCTTTCAAGGTTCATTCTAGGCTAGTATCTAATCTTTGAATTCATAAAATAACCTTCTCAAGGATATATCTACACTTGTAATAGTATATAATAGCATCCTCAATCATTCATATGTTTTAGATAATGAAAAGAAAGGTTTTGGATTCAAACTCACTCCAGTGAGGAAAATACGTTTTACAATGTAGCGTCTGTCTTCGGTGATTTGGAGACCTTCCATTACTTCATTCATTGCAGGCTGCATTTTCCCGGATTCCTCGTCTTGAGAGCTTTCTTTAGACACCTCACACTCCTAATTTGGATAAGTGAAGCTCGAGATATGGAGTGAATGCTCGTATGGGATCTCGGAGGTTGTGTGAATGCTCTAAGGCTTCTCAATAAGATTAGCAAGTTGTGTGGTGTGGAATGAATGTGCATGGGGCTTGGTTAGCAATACATCTCAATCAAGCATGGAGGAGGGCCCTTGGTTTGTCTCAAAAGTCAAGTGCAGCCCCTCGTTTTGCATTATGTCCGCCCCATCCCTTCACATCTAACATATTTTCTTTGTCTTGCAGGTACTCAAGTCATGTGGGATGGTCCCCAAGTGATCCCAATTAATTTGGGATCAAATATCTACCAACACTTCCAAAAATGGAGGAATTGAGGCCCTATTGTTTTGTACTTTTGCTGTGTGATGTCCTTTTGTATTCATTTGAATTTCTTTAGACAAATTCAACCTTTTACATCATATTATTGGTCTCTAATATGTGTAGGATGATCTCAATTATTCATATAATGTAAAATTATAGGAGAAAACCTTACTTCCATAATCTATTCCAATAATGATCAAAAGTGACCATAGAAGTTTGTCTTTGTCTCTAGGGGTTCCCTCACCCCTTTATTCGTATATATCAATTATTATTATCCTAATATTTTTTTTGGAGTCTATAATAGGTATGGGATACCCTCAAGTAGTTCTACGATATCCATTTCCATCAAACTTGCTTTTTTTTAGTAGTTTGGGCCCAAAGTAACACTTGGGCTGCCCAGCCCCCTTATTTTGTCTAGAAGGGTTATGAATACTCCATTCATCCCAATTTGTTTTGCAAAGTCAACATTTTTTGGTCAATCAATAATAAAAGTCAATCCTCTGTATGGATAATTAATTTAATTTTTAATAATTAAAATTTAAATATTCATAAGCTACATTAAAATCTCTTCAAATTTGTAAACTCCAAATTAGAATATAATTAGAAATTGACATCCTAATTAAGTGAACAAAATGAAACTGTTTAACCAAGAAAAATCAAATTTGTAAATCAATTTGGGACGGACGTAGTATTTCTTTATATAGTATGGAGATCTTATATCTAATAAGATAGTTCACTTAAGTATTTGAAAGCTCATCCTTGTAATACAGGCCCAAATGACATTACCGCAATTACTTAGAATAGGTATCCATAATTCTGAATTTTTGGGTCCGCCCACTGATTGAGGGTATCCACATCTGCGTGGGCGGTGGTGGAGGGGTGGCCAACCAGGTCACGACTAACCCAAATTTTAAAATTGTTTATAATTTTAATGTAAAAAATTATGTGTAAAAATTCGTCTATAAAAATTTTCTCATGTATAACAATTACTAGCGTTTTCACGCGCAATGAGCGAGAGTCAATGCCCAACAATACAATTTGAACATTAATAGTAATTCATACTAGAACAACAACATTTCACATTAAAATTTCACGTTTAACATAACTTGAAACATGCATGTGTCACCGATCAAAATAACTTGATATTCTAATAAACTATTCACGTAATGGTGTATGTAATTGCTAGATATAATAAACATCTTTCATTGACATTGGTCTTTGAACTATTTAATTAAGATTGTTGATGAATCAATTTTTACCATAAGTTCATAGGAAAATAGATAAATTGAATATAACAAGAAAACAGAATGAAGGTGAGGCCTCATTTAATATAATTTGTACATGTCGCTTCTTCTAAATCTTCTAACAAAGGTTTTACCGAACACTACTTCACACAAAGAATTGAATTGTTGAAGATTACAATTTTAGGTTCTTGATTTTTTTTTGGAGTTTCACTTTTATTGTATTTCAATAGATTTTTTGTGTGTTTTTGTCAATGAACATGGTCAATCACTATTTGGAAACGAACTTGGGACATATGTAGTAACAAAACATATTTTAACATAATCTCTTCATAACTCAGTAGCTACGGGCAATTCAATTTTTAGAGACAAAGACTCAACGACAACAGTTCATTTTGGATTTTAAAAGATACTCCGCCGGTCTTAAATAAACTTCACACTTTCCTTTTTGGGTAGGTCCAATATTAACTTCACACTTCTATTTTTGGAGACTTTTTACAATAAACTTACACTTATACCCTTACTTTATTACCTACTTTACAATCACTTTCTCTCTTCCAATACATTTTATCTACTTTTTGTAGAGGTATGGTGGGAAAGTCAAAACAAAGAATTCCACTTTTTTAAAAACCGTAAATTCAAACTATGAAGATTATTTAGAACCAGAGGGAGTAAATCCTTAATCTTCTAAATTAATAAAGGGTGTTTTTTGTAATTAATACAACCCCTATAGAAGTTAGAGCCAATAATATCTAAGTATAAAATATTTTCATCATTTAGTATATTTTATTAGTTTAGACATTCCAAGCATAACTATAAGAGATTAACCACTTTAAAGAATCTAAATCATTTTATTATTTTATGACATACTTTGTTTCCCTGTAAATATTTTCTTTGTTTTAATTTCCATTCCTGAAATATATGTTGGTTTTTTTAGTTAATGACTAATGATAACAACCTCTATTTGACAACGAAACAACCCTGACTAATAGGTTTCCTCTAATTCTTTGTTATGTCATTCAAAAAGTATTCAATTTCCTTTTTAGAAGGATTTTTATACATATTTTTAAAATGCGAATAGTTAGTTTTATATCGTTTTAACTCTCATATTAAAAAAATATGAAATGATAATATTTAGTAGATTTATTATGCAACTGAAAATAATAAAAATTCTAAGTAGAGTTGTTTCGGAGTATGAGGTGAAATAAAACCAAAATGGTAGATATTACAGGGATGCAAAACAAAAAAAATATTTTACAGAGATCTAAAACAAAGTGTGTCATATTTGCATGAACTAAAATAATACTCGTATTTAAATCATTTATAAATGATGCTTCATAAATGCACAAATTGCAATCCGTATCTATAGACTATAAAGTGGGGACCTTTATTTATACTTGGTTAAAAAGTGTGAATGTATTTGGGAGTAATGACAGCCGTTAATAACTTCAAACGATGTTATGGCTTTTTTGTCCTATCAATACTAGGGTATCACATTTTAATAATAATGTACGAGCATTCATGCACTCAACATGTTGACACAATTCAAGGATACTAACCAATATTCACAATTATAATGTTTTTAGATTTAGATTAGAAAATTTTCTTTTGTACACGTTTTTATACCCATCAGTACACGCATGTGTCTGTGATAGTTTTTTTTTGTCTGTGAAGCGCAGTCCACAGACATAAGTTGGCTTGTTTTGTCTGTGAAATTTTCCACAGACAAAACAAGCTAGCTTTTGTCTGTGGACTGCGCTTCACAGACAAAAAAAACTCTCACAGACAATACTGATGGGTATAAAAATGTGTACACCAAAATTCTTCTTTAGATTATATTTAGATACAGGACCAACCAAATTCTTTCTCGTGGCTAAGCTCCTCCATATCTTGGTCATAGAGTGTGCACTAGTGCAGTCGACCATGGAGAGCATCCACCGGCTCACCCACCGCGTTTTCCCCAAACCCTTTACCAGAGAATTCCTCAAAGCCTGCCCCATTTCCCCACTCCCCTTCCACACAGCCGTAAGGCTGAACCATGCTGAGAAACCCGTATTCCGACCCGGTAGTCCTCATATTGATCGGCTTATGTGTTCCAACTTAACACTCATAAGAAGTCATCGCTCTTCTGCTGCTACTGCAAGAGCGGGTTGGTTTCTAGGCATGAGGGATAAGAAACAAATTTTGCCCGACATTGTCAAAGCTGGCGATCCAGTTCTCCACGAGCCTGCCCAGGAAGTTGCTCCGGATGAAATCGGGTCGGAGCGGATTCAGAAGATTATACACGATATGGTAAAGGTTATGCGAACAGCGCCTGGGGTTGGCCTTGCTGCTCCTCAAATCGGAATTCCCTTGAAGGTTTGTCGGAGAAGACGCTCATAAGTTATAATTGCTTATTGCCTATTAGTTTTATGTCTGATCATTCCCAGTTGCTGTAATTAGGAATGACCAATCAAGATTTTCCGCTCTAACACTTTTGTGTGTAGAAAGTGCAGATTAAAAAAAATTGCATCTTTTCCCATAGGGCCAGGATCTTATTCCTGAAGGCCAAGAACTGGACATACACTTTAAACTGAACTACATTTGCAGAATAGAGCTTGGTGCTTACACTCCTTACTGAGCAAAATTGCTCTATAGTAGTTGTGAAGAATTAATTGTAGTCTATTCTTGTGGTACTCCCTTGAACTAGTTGAGCTAAGTTCACCTACCAAAAACTGCAAATTTTAGAAAAATCTTTAGGGATTGAGGTCATGTTTATGCTAAACTCTCCTCATCCTCTAGATCTGTATTATATCCCATGAACTTCCCACACTATGGAATTGGCCATATGCAATACCTGTACCACAGTAACAGTTATCCGCACTTGATCAAGGTTTAACTTTTTTCTTTCTACTATTTACAGCTACACATGAATTTTACGTAATTTTAGCATTTTAAACGTTTTTAGGAGCTAGAAAAACTGGAGTGGGCTGTAAACTTAAAGAATGGCATACTTTACTTTCTACATTGTCTCTGTGAGTGACGAGTCTATGAGATGCTGAAACCTGTACTACCTGGTAGTATGGTACTAATCTGAAAGTGAGATAATTATTGTTATTTATTCTAATTCTTGACAGATTATTGTGCTTGAGGATACAAAAGAATATATAAGTTATGCTCCGAAACAAGAGACTGAAGTACAGGACAGACGTCCTTTTGATCTACTGGTATGCATAATTTCATGTGGTTTGTTTTTGCTAGTGATAATTGAAATCTTTGCGTTCTAACGGGGATTCTTTCTTTATGTCTGACTGCAGGTCATTATCAATCCAAAACTTGTAAAGAAAGGAAACAAAACCGCGCTGTTTTTTGAAGGTTGTTTAAGGTAAGTTAGAAGCAACTTAAGTATCCGAAATTATACATGATCCTTGTGGTTAGATGAGCTCTACGTACCTCAAGTACTGCTGTTTTCAAATGTATTTGTCTATAGGATAAACACCAATACATATCCAACCTAAAGAGGGTGAAGTTTTGATTATGCGTTCGA